AAAAATCATCTGGAAAATAAACAATTCCAAAGTTTCTTTAGAACATTTTGGTGAATTTTTAAGCTTTGCTTCTGCCAAACCAAACAAAAGTAGAAAGCAAGAGCTGAGAACAGACCGCAGCATGAACGTGCCTCAATCCTGGAAGAAGATACTCTTAACATCCACCCTGCTCCCACAGGAACCACCACCTGTGTTCAGGTAAGTTTTGCACTGCTCCTGAAACAAATACCCACGCTCAATAAGCACTGTCAGGCAATTTTTACATTTCAAAACCAAGAGATAACTGCAGTCCATCACCAGCTGGCACCACTTCCAGCCCTGCCGGAAAGCTGAAGAATGCCAATGTCTGAACAAAGCAAAGCTCTCCTCACCACAGACAGGCTCTAAATGACCTTTACACAACACGGCTCTCCAGAAAACACCAAGCTTCTTTAGTATGGATTCCTTCCAACCCATGGCCTATCTGTGTTTGCTAGGCTGCTTTATGGCAGAGAAAGCAGCCTGGAGGAGCGGGACCAGCAGTGCCAAGCCAAGCATGAGAAAGTACAGCAACAAGTGAACAAATCCTCTCCCTCCTGCCAGGGGCCAAACTGGGGAAAAGGGAAAAAATTAAAATTAACAAAATACATGGGTTTGCATCAGCCAGTCTGTCATTTCAGTTAAAAAAAACAAAAATGTAAGAGACTGTGATATGACACAGAGATGGGAAACTGATGGTGGGCATGCTACTGAATATGCATCTTGCATTCAGGTGCTGAACCCACACTGTTGTTCAGTCTCACTGCTGATGTTAATGCTATGAGAAATCTTGTCTGCTAATCAAAGACTAACAAATGAGCTTTAAGCATTAAAATGCTGGCTTTTTGTTATCTTTGAATTAATTTCCTTTATACTGTCCCTATGATAGTAGCAAAATCCTTGAATGAAGCCAAGGACCAAGGCTGCAACTGACTGGCAGAAATAATCAAGCCAATAGAACATATTGCCCTGACACCTTGAGAAGGCAGCAAATAACAATGAGAAGGGAACTAAATATAACACAAATATGGATCCAATTAGCATGAATTTTAAAAAAACCCAACACAGTAAATTACTTTCTGTGAAAGGGAAAATGCTTCAGGAGGTGAACTTCACTGCAAAATTTCCTTTGTGAAGAAACTAAAAGGTGAAGGACCTGACAATGGGAGAAAAATGAGGGGAGACATGAAGCCTAGAGGGCCACAGAGAGTCCAGGCTCCTTCCCTGGTAGGAGCACTGGGATGAATCCTGGTGAGGGCTACGTGAGTGAAGCAGCACTTTCACAGTCCAATACAGGCAGCTGCAGGTGACCAGAGACAGGACAAGTGCCACCTGGAGAAGAGCCAGAAGGTAAGATGATGAACCTCTGGGCAGAGAAAAACAACAAAGTAGGAAGGAACCAAAGCATTGTGATTAATACCCCTTTACCTATCAAAAAGAGCAGCAAGGTGTGAAATTACCATGTAACTCTGATCTTTCCTGATTAAGACATGTAAGATCTAATTAAGTGCCTCTCATGGTCCTTCACAGATTCCCTTTGCCCACAGTCAGGGTTATAATAAAACAGAATAATTTTCACTTTACAGTGTAAAATCCTGATCATATATTATCTGACAGATAACTGTTTAAAGAAAACAGGCATACAAATTATGTCTGTCTTAGCCAGTTCCTGACACAAGTCAATGAATGGTCTGTGCTCCACCATTTGACCTCATCAGCACTGGTTTGATCTAAAAGCATGAGCACACAGAAAATCTTTAATTTGACAGAATCACATAGGTATTCTTTTCCTGGAGAAAGCACCCATTTTCTATCATGAAATACAAATATTATGTGAAATAATCCACACCTGGGGGAGAAGAACATCAGTATCTGCTGCTGGTTTCTGAAGTTGGTCTGTCCTTGATCTGGATGCATGACTGGAGCCTGGACTTGCACTAAATTGTAACCAGTCAAAACATGAGCAGCAATCCTAGCAGCAGGGAAATGCACTCTAAGAATCGATCCCAAACAGTCCATAAATGAGTATCAAAACTAGTACATTAATCAGAAGTTTTATACCACAGTCAATAAAATAGGAAAAAAGTTCAGATAATCTGCATTCAAGAGCACATCATTGAAGCAGGATCCCTATTATTTCCATGAGCAGGTTTCCCTTCCAATTTTAAAAAATTTGCATAGTGTAATGCTTACAAACTGTGTTTTATTCACTGAAAAGAAATTATCTCTTCAACAGTATTCCCTTTAATAACAAAAATTACTTTCTAGACAAGACAATCCTACCAAGTCTTTGCCACGGGCACTCTTTTCTACATTTAACTGCACAAGGTCCTCCTGTGATATCAATGAGATTTCACAATCAAAACTCCAGCACCGCACAGCCAGGCAGCATGATAGGCAAGTAAACACCCTGAAGTCCTACAACTGACAAGGTGTAAAACTTTTTCAAAAGACATGTGCACACTCCATAACAAACCCTGCATTTCTTTTAATTGGTAAAAGAGACAGAAGCCTTAATTTGGGAAGAAAAAATCCTTTTATTTTTGCTATTTCTAGGCTAGTGCACGTTGAGGACAGTGCCTGCAGGAGACCCACCCGTTGCCTGTGGTGCAAAAGCGCCAAGGCTGCGCCTTTCTGCTTCAGAACAATTGGTCCAGTGTGCTTCCTGCAGCCCGCCAGTACAAAATAACCAAATCTAATCCTTTCCACTAACAGCACGCTCACCAGATTGACTATGCCAGCTCACTCAGTAAATGCCTTTGGGGTTGTAATGAGCACATGTGTTATGAACTACGGCAGTTCTAAGCTTTCCAAAACCTTTAGACAAACCAAAGATGTACCCACAGCAATTGAGTACAAGGGTATCCCTTCAGGTTAACTTTGGGTGGCAGCCCTCTAGGATGAGGTCTGGCCCAGCTGAAAGAGATTCCTGCACAACACAACACCTGGCAGGAGCATGCCAGTTACCACTGCAGAATCCCTGGCTCTCCCCCAGGATGGAGCCCACTGAAGTTTCACTGTGCTCCCCCACCAGGGGAATGCACCATCACTCCTAAAAGAGCTGTTCCTAAACAGCAACTCTGTGCAGACAGGGGCTTTGCTAGTACCTCCAAAACATAACACTTCATCTTACCCCTGCTGCAAAATCAGCTCTTATCGCATAAAAGCTAATTAGTGTCACACACCTCAACAATGTGAAGCAGCGTTTCTCTATCAACAAACACCCATAGAAAATTGGTAATACATTGGACTTCTTGAAATAACTATGAAAACAATTACCCTAAAGTGTGGGCATAGATGTACACAACTTTTCTTCCCCACAGTTTGAGTAGAAACTAACAGGAACCAAATATTAAGCCTCAGTAGTCAAAGATGAGAACATACGCAAAATATTTGGAACTTTAAGTATAAGCAAGCAGTATACAAAAAAAAACCCTACTTGGCAGCTTACTCTACCCAAATAAATTAGCTCCTGTAATATTTCTCCAAATATATTTTTGGCAGATCTCAAACTTAATAATTTAGGGCTACATTTAATAAAAAAAAAAAGTCTTTGAAACTATTTCCAACTGCTGAGGTCTGATATTTAGAAAGGTTTAGATATCTGTCATCAGTAGAGAGAACCCCTTCCCCATCTGAGAGTTTCAGAATGAAATTCACGTAAAGTTGTACAATTAAAAGTAAAACCAAATGGTGGTCCAACTGAAAGGGAAATACAGCAGAGAAAAATCCCCAAAACGCCATTTGAGAGAGCAGCTCCGGAGTTCCTAACACCAGCTAGTTCAGGATGAGCAATAACCTGGGGTATCACAGCATGAATCAAAGAAAGCTCATCTGCCCAGCTTAAACAGAAATCACGGGAAGTCATCTTCAAGCGAATGCATGTGAATCATTTTGGCTAATGAAAACATACCCCTCAAGCTGAAGAACTTACGTAAATTACATTTCTCCTAATTCTGCCAAAAACATTAAAGAAAATGGATTTGCCAAAGATAAAAGCAAAGTAGGCATGATAGATCATCCATTAGCAATACAAGTACGGCTAATTCTTCCTGACAGTGAAATGTCTTGGGATACAACCCACTTTATTTTTTTTTTACTAGATGTGTGTTTAGATGCAGTATATCCTACACATTTTATCTCCTTATATCCTAAACTTCACTACTAGTGAGATTTTACAAAGATCAGGCCCTAACAACAATGTAACGAAAAAACGTGAAGAACTGAAAGTATTTTAGCATAGCAAAAAAATAATTTAGAAATTAAATAGGAGCTGTATAATCTCTGCAAATACAGCAAGTAGTTTAAAATGGTGCAAATTAATGCAGTTAATCTGAATTAACAGTAAGAAGGAAAACATCACATGCTTATGAGGACTCACAAGGGCAGAATTAATATTGCACTCTGCTCACTGTTAGAGCAACTAGTGAACTAGTTTCAGCTTTACTTTTTTCATTAAAAAAGTACAGTACATTTTTAATGTGCAAGGTTGTACTGCATTCTCTAGCATACAACTTTGATTTATTCATGTAAACGTCAGAAATCCATCAGCAAACAAAGCCATATGGAAGAAAAAGAGATATAATGGATTTTCTGTTTGCTTTAGAAACTTGACATCTGTGGATAGCATCATCTAAGTTACAATCCAATCACTATTCATATTGTGGTCATTTTCATTTACCAATCCAAAACGCATTTTGTCTGATGATACAAAAAGCTCTGGGAGTGAGAGAGCATAGAAGAAATCGTGTTTTAAAAACTTAAAATGGGAATATAGTTTAATATTTTCCCTTTCACATCATAAATTCAGAGAAAAGCAAACTCACATCTGTTCTAACTTAGCTTTAAAAAAACGAAGAAAACGTATCAGGATCATTTATATCTTGTCTGTATTTGTGGCAGGATTTTGGGAGCCGGCCCGAGCCACCGGTGGCACCTGAGCCTCGCAAAGTTCCCGGGGGGCCGGGCTCGGCGCTACTTACCCCCGCAGAGCAGGAGGAGCCCGGCTGGCCGCGCCGCCGAGCGCATCTTCCCCGTGCCGCCGCTGCGGCCCCGCCTCGGCGCTCCGGGCGGCACCGGCCGGGCTGCCGGACGCTCCGCGGGCTCTCAGTCGGGCCGGCCCATGGCCCGGGCCGGCGGCAGCGGCCGCGATGGGACGCACGGAGCCGGGCAGAGGCGGGCAGGGACGGGACGGCCCGCGCCGGGATGCTCCTCCGCCGGTCCTTCCCTCGGTGCTCCTGGGTCCGGTGCCGCCCCGCCGCCAGCGGCCGGGAAGAAAGCGGCTCGTTCCCTCAGCGGCGCCGCTCCTCTCGGGCTCTGCGGGGAGAAGCGAAGTCACGAGCGAAGCCCCCGCTCCGCCGCCGAGCCCCCCGCGCTGCCCGGGCGGCGGCACCGCCCGGCTCCGGCCAGCCCCCGGCCCCTCCTGCCCGGGCCGCCCCGCCCCGCCCGCGGAGCCTCCGCCGAGGGGCGCAGCGCCGGCCCCGCCCCGCGCATCCCCCGGGCAAGGTGCGGGGCCGGGCGGAGGCACCGCGGCGTCCCGGAGCACCGGCCGCGTCCCCCGGCCCGCGGGCAGCAGCGGGGCGCGGGCGGGAGGAGCGGGAGGCGGCGGCTCGGGGGGAGGAAGGCAGGCGAGCCGCGCAAACACACCAGGTGCGAGACAAAGCGGGGACAGGCGCTGCGGCACCAGGATGTACCCGAGCGGCCGTCTTCCCTGTCAGCCGAAACACATTAAACGTGTTGAATAATTAATCCTTAGGAGAGCAGACAATTTTTGCTTGATGGTAGGAGGATGCTGTAGAAGATGTGCGCTACCTGGCAGGCAACCAAAGTAACCCGGAACGCACGCGTCCCGCTGAGCGGCGAAACGCCACTTTTAAACCGCAAGCGGGAGGGGGGTGGGAAATCTAACCGAGCCAAAGCTGAAATACGCTTTAACAGGTCGGGCTCGCCGAGAAAAGCGCTCCGAAAAAGCCGCCGCTCACAAACACCGCCCCGAGCCCCCGCTGCGCCGCTGCCTCCGCCCGCGGCCCCGCCGCAGCGCCCGGCCCGCCCGCGCCCTGCCCCGGCTGCCGCAGCCGCGCCGGAGCCGCGGGCAGCCCCGGGGTGGCGCGGGCACAGCCCCGGCACCCGCGGGCACCGCGCCCGCGCAGGCTCTGGAGGGGCCACAGCGACTGCCAGCTGATACAAACCCTGCCCCTCTCCCAGCCCCTCTCCTGTCAGGGCATCTCCAACCTGCCGAGGAGATGTTCTCTATGCCTCTCCCGAAAGCTGATACTGCTTCCACACAGCCGCGCTGCTCCACAGAGCTGGTCGTCAGGATTCAGACACGGATCAGCAGCTACAGCGTTCGGCTTCCCCAGCCTTCACACCCTGAAACGCCCAAGCAAGGTCAAGTAGACACACAGAGTAGATTGATACTCGGTGCCTTTGCACCTAACAAGAATTGCTATACATTACTTAAATAGAAGTCAAATAAGAAATTCTCTCTCTAGATTAGTAAGGACTCTGCTTAGAAATAGGAGGCAAAGTATCAGAAATTACCCTAGAGGAATGGCAAAGGAACTAACCTATTGTAACTCTTCTGTTAGATCTTAATCAAGTTACATCTTCTTCCATGGTCTTCATAAGGCTTGGGAAAACAATAAGCCAAGTTGAAGCAACTAGAAGGGTAATAATGCATTTGAGATGAACAGTAATGACCACCATTAATTAATTGCTTTTGAAGCTGCCTGTCAGATAGTATAAATTAAACTTTCGAGTACTTACGTGTCAAGTGTGTGTGGGGCTTTTGCAAGTCCCTGAAAGAGGGAACTGAGAAGGTTACTTGGGAAGTCTCTGTGAACCAAAGGAAAGTCTATAGCAAAGAAAGCAACACATAAAACATTAACATTAAATCAATGCTTTGTGGAGAAATGTCTTACGTTAAGCTAAGCTTTATCTTAAATCATATTTAAAAGCTCGTGCAGTATACAAATCAATATTGATGCCATCTAAAATACACCACTATCATCTGCACTGATAAATGCCAGTTTTCATCCAGGACAAAGTGACTTCTTGGAAGAATTTCAAGGACTTACAATCTCTTCTGGCATCTCAGCAACTGAAGCCAAAGCTGTACTCTTCTGCCAGCTTCAGGCTCTGCTCCAGCACACTAAAACTGGTTTTAGATGCCATCATGTTCGTCATGCAAGGAACAGAAGTAAGGTCACCAGAATAATTTTTTCATTTGATTTCCAGGCTTTTAAGCTGAGCAGTTTTATGTGTTTTCAGAGGACTGTAGCTGACACTGTAGCTGACACACAACACACCTGGAAAAAACTGGACAACTTGGATGAAAACGGGACCAAACACAGGTGTCTTCTGTGTTCCAGCTACTGTGGTCTTGTCTCCCATGTTAATGTAGCCACATTCTTCCTGAAGCTGTTGGCCTTTATGGTCAGCAGTGGTGTATTGAGGAAACATAGTGGTATATCCAGGAAACATAGCCTACCACAGAGAAGACAAACATAACATAACTGCAGCATCTCTCATACCCTGCAAATGCCTATCAAAATGGAGGCATTTTAAATTTTGAAATTCAAACTTCAGGAGAAAAAACTTAAACCCTTCCTGCCCAGCCTAGTTTCCACATCCCTGAAGAGTCCCAACACAGGCTGTGAACCATCTGCCCTTGAGTTTACATGAGCCATACAAGCCTATAGCAACCATCTCCTTCCAACAGCTAACTTCTGCTCCACTATGCATAAAATACACTTTCACGTCATTCACTTGGTTTCTTTGTCTGAAGGCCTTTTGAAAACTGAATGAAAATCACTGCTTGTAAGTGGGGAATAAAAAATCGAGGTGTCCCTAATTTCCCAGAAAAGCTTGAGCTTTGCAGTGACATCTCCCATCACTCTCCCAGCAGAAATACTTTGGATGTAAATCAACACTTTCCTGCAGGCTAGTGCAGTTGGGAAACTGTGGCTCATACTCCTCCTCTTCCCCACCCCTCCCCCCACTTTGACTCATTTATTTGGCACAGCAGGCTGAGCTATTAAATTATTGTAGTTTTTCTTTTATAAAGGCACCCTGAGATGTCTCAATACAATAATGCTTCCTGAAACCGATGCTGATTGATAACTGTTTCTTGGTTTCATCACAAGTCTTAGATCATGTTCATTTAGCATCAGGCCAGGACACTTGAGGACTGTTCTCCTTTTCCATGTTTTCCAAACACTCAGGCATGAACACTGAAATATTTTCAGGTAAAAATCATCCTAGAATATTGTATTTAAAATCCAACTCTTGATCAGTTCAGGACTTAAATACTTTTTTCCCCCATGCTAGGAGGTTGGCCACTGTAAAAACTCAGTCTGAGGTGCTGCTATTGATCATGTGGAAAAAAATAGTATTTTAAAAGTACAAAAACAGGTTATTAACACTCAATGCTATTTTCTGATCAAACTGTCATGTCTTTCAAACAGTTACAACTACGGTGGCACTGATTCTTCCTGAGGTAGATCTAATAGTAAAAGGACAGATTAAACTTTGATCCTGACAGTGACAAAGAAATTATCTGCATGTCGTACTTAATTCAAGTTCTTATATACATGTTTTTCCACAATCCCTGTGCTTTATTTTCCTAGCCTTCTGTCAATTTCTTCATTTTCAATTTTTTAGATATTGGTAACACAAACTGCACAGTATCCACATTACCTATTTAATTTTTGTCCACTTGAGAGCATTGAAAGAGCTAAAAGCAGTGTGTTTTCCCAAAATACTCATCCAAAAGTGCTATGAATTGGTCAGAAACAGTGACTACCATGACGAAGCAGCAAACCTGGGCTAGGAGATGTCTCCAGCTTGTCACCTAGAGAAGGGAACCAAGAAGCTATTTCTTTCAAGTCAGGAGAAAGAAATCATTCTTTTGGAGAAAGTGCTACAGACTGTCCTGATAACAAGAAGTTTAAGCAAGAGCTTTGGATTGTCCAATAAATAGATTTCAAGGCAAAACCAGGATTCTTGTGAAAACAGTGACAAGGGACTTGCATAAGTGAAGATGCTGTATGAGGGAAAGCAGAACAGACCATGAGCCTGGGCCAGGACCATGACCAGGAGGAATCAATCCTTTGGAGACCTGACAAAACCATCCCTCCTGGGAGCTGGCTGCACCAGGAAAGCCCTCATCTGGCCCCTCTGCTGCTTGGTAATAAAATTCTAAGTTCCTTCAACAACAGTAGTTTGTGTCACTGTAAATGTAACACAAAGCCTTTTTGAAAATACATTAATCCACAAAAAATGCCTGATTCCTGGCCATCATATTGTTTGACTGAAAGCCTCAACTCAACTGTCAAAACCGTCATGAAATCATAAATCACAATGTCTGGTGCCATCAGAAGTCAGTACCGAAATAGGTCTCTAACCATTTATCTGAAATTTTCAAATGCTTGCCTTTGCTGCTGCAGGTTTCCATGAAGCACAGGATGACTATGCTGGAGCATTTCCATGCAGAGAGGAAATAAATTCTCCCAATATTTGCAAACAACAGGTGCTTTTTTGTTTTAATTCTATTCAGAATCTCATGTCATCTTGCATCTATCTTGTTACAGAAGCCTTCTAAAACTGACAGGAAATAAAAGCTCGGTTTTCATGTCACTTTTCTAAGGATTGTCCTAGAGGTGCCATGGATGCAGCTGTTACGTCAGAAAGGCATCTGGATTGAAGGTCACTGTGATACATTACTGAAAATACAACAGCGTGTTAGTTCCAAACTGAATGAAATCCCAAGTTCTGATTTCTGTACTGTTGTGGAGCAGCAGGATTCCAGGAGTGTGAGTGCATGAGGATGTGAACCTCTTGCTGGGGTGATGGGCACTGCCTGGTGTGAGAGAGCCTGCAGCCCTGGTGTGCCTTAGCAGGGCATCCAGCGGAGTTGTGCCGGCAGCTGCCGCTCCACCGCCGCAGGAATATCCCCAGCCAGCAGCAGGGACAGCAGCAGGCCTGATGACTCATGCTTATCTCATCTGCAGAGACAACCCTTTTTGCCTGGAACCATGCTATAACATAAACCCAACAGTTGTAACCCACAGGCACCTTGG